AGAATAAACTCCACTTCAAGCACGGCAGATTCGAAATGGTACTTGGCACATTGTTGGGTAGTGGAGCCTTTTCCATTGGTAGCATGGTACATTTCAAAGGGTGTTGCGGCACGACTTGTCAATTCTATTGGCCACAAGGCCAAATGAATGGACACATCGCCCTTTCGAATGAGCGCCAAGCCAAGAACGTTGAAAAAAGTCCCAACTCAATAGAAAAAAGGTGTAGTGAGTGGCTCGTATACGTACAGTACTACTAGCCTTGTACTATGTCTACTCGTCATCCGACTCGACGTCCCCATATTGCCACAAACACAACCGACGGCGTTTGGCGGCGTCTTGTGCCGTCAGCAACCCGTCCACGACCTTCTTCTGGTACGACTGCGCAGCCTTGAACGACTTGCGGTCGACGCGAGCCACGCCGGTTTCCAGCAGCGATTCACTCACGCTCTTGTCGTTGACGAACAGTGACACTTGGAAGCGTCCGGCTTCGTCGCGGCCGTGCACGATGCCCGTCAGCGTCTTGCCCCACGCGAGGTCGTTGAACAAGTGCGCCGCGTCCGCCGCGTACTCGTGGTGCGGTTCGGCTTGCTTGACGAACCCAAACACGCACTCCTTGGCCTGACCGGGCAGCGACACGAGGGTCGGGTCCAGCGGACGGAGGCGGGTCACCGGGAGCACTTCGACGTTGCCGTAGTCGATGAATCGCACACGGATGGCTTGCGCGGACACCGACTCGATGCGCGCGCGGTTCCACAGCGGGCCTTGACCGTCGTCGAACAGCGCCGCGATCAGCGCCCCCTTGCGCAGCTCGACCGTCTTGCCGTCCACGCCCACGGACGCCGTCCATGCGCGCATTTGATCTTCGAGCGTCGCCACGACGCGGTCGCTGATGTTTTGGACGAAAAAGTGCGTGTGGCTCACGATTTCAGAGAGTCGGACGACGGGCCAGACGTCGTCGGCCGTTTTCCGGACCACGGGAGCCGCCGCCGCCGCGACAGTTTCGTCAGGCAACACGTTCTTCCAAATGTTCTTGCGACCAGCTTTGGCCACGTCTTGCGCCTTGACCAAATCGCTCGCGGTACTCGTGCGGTCGATGGAGAAGTCGTCGATACGACCATAGCCTGCCGCCAAGAGGTGGCATCCAATGTTGGTTTTCGAGTCCTTCTGGCCGACATAGAGTGGCCCGAACGCGTTCCCGGCGCGATCCATGTCTTCGATTTCAACAATCACGTTGCGTTGGTTGACGGTGCGTCTGGAAAACTTGCGCGCTTCTTCGCCAAACGGCTCGGCTTCCTTGGACGGTCGCGCGGGCTGCGGGGACTTGATGCCGGCCAGCACGTAGTTGACGGTACAGTTTTCCTTGGGGATGTAGATCTTGAACCGGTTTCCGGCGTACACTTGTTCGACGATCGCGCGCAGCGACTTTTCACGTTGGAGGAACGGCAAGTACTGCTTGGCCTTGTTGCCGTCAAAGCAGAGGTCGGTCACGCGGGCTTCGGGGGACGGCTTGCCGGAGAACTGGCCACGTTTCGCGGCACGAGCTGACGCTTCCGCCGCCACCAACGCGTCGTAATACCCCGACTTTTCCTCGTCTTGCTTATGGCGCACAACTTCGCCAAACCCGTCCGTGAGCAGCTGCTCGCCCAAGTTGATGCGTTCAACGGGGGCGGCGTCCGCCTTTTTCTTGCCAGCTGCCGCCGCCGTCGGTTCAAGAAACACACTGGCAAACGTGAGCAATGCAGCCGCGTCGTTCTGGGCGTTGTTGCGCTCGTATTCGACTTCGATAGACACGACGCGACCAATGCACTTGTTGCGCAGCGCTTCCTTGGCGTCTACGGCGTACGGCGCGTTAGGCTCTTCACGGCGAGCATTGCCGAGTCGCGGAGCCCGAATCGACGACAAGTACAGCCGCATTTCGTTGTTGCTGGGTTTCAGGGCCACGACGAGGCAGTCCCCAGACACGACTTCGACCACTAGACCCGTGAGGCGGCTCTCGGCAGCCTGCAGGACCGGCGCGACATAGTTGACCCACACGCGGATCTTGTTAAGTTTCGCGAGCTTCTCGGCATTGCGCATGTCGGTGCGAATGGCCACGCTGGTGAATTCGGAGCTCCAGTCCGTCATCTTGCCGAGACCTTCCTTGAGCAACTCGATGCTGATGTTGTGGCCCGACGGATGCACGACACTGCCAAACATGTTCTATGGACAGTTGACACGCGTGAGATAAACAACCAACCGCGGACAAGTTCAAAGTGCAGAATGTATACCCCAAACTTGTCGACGCCTTCGAGCTTGACGTGCACTTGACGGTGCAGCAACCGCACTTCGGTGAACAACTTGGCTTCCTTGGCATACGGTGCGGGCCCAGTCTGTTCCGACCCCACGGGCGGGTTGATGCGAGGGCACTGCACACCCGACAAGGCAAAGTTGATGATTTGCATCGTCTTGAGCAAGATGACACGCATGCTGGCGCCATCCCGGACCACTTCGACGATCGCGGGGATCTGCTGGCCCTTGAAGCGCCCGAGCAGCTCGTCTGAGCTGAGCCCGTTCCAGTTGACGCGCAACGCCGCGGTCACGGAGTCGTCGCTGTAAATGCCCTTCTTCTCCGACTGCGCGACTTGTTCCAGACGAAGCAGCTCGTCGTGGTCGGGGGACGCTCCATCGCGACTTTGCTCAATGGACTTGACCTTGGCGAACCCTTCGCGGGCCACAGCCAAGCCCACGTTTTCGCCATTCAAGTATACCGACCCAAAGTCTCGGTTGATGACAGAAACCCGGTAGTCCACCTTGAAGCGCACAGGCTTTCCAATCAGCAACTTGCGAAGAAACTCACGACTTGCAAATGCATACGGCTATATATACAAGACACCATGTCAGCACGCACATTGCGGTGGGGATAAGCAAACCTCGTCCGTCTGTTCGGCCGTGCGCGCAAGCTTGGGTGCTTGCAAGGACGACAGTGTGAGCATGATCTCAGGAGGAGGGCCATTGCTGGAGGCAGCACCCACAAGCACGACGGTATCCCCGCTGATCACAGCTTTCACGGTAGCATTGCCAGACGCCATGACGTTTGTTGTTCGGGTTCAAAAGTTGCAAAATGCATTCCAGACCTCAGAGAGGCCAACATACTAACACGCAGTCTAAATGTACCCAATCAAAACGATGCAAATCAATCTAAACGTTAACCCAGTTTTTTTCGGAACTTCGAAGGATGAAACAAACGTTTTCAAAACACGTTCACTTTCAATTTCATAACGTTATAACGTTACAGTATTGCAAAAAAACAAAATGCCAACAATTGGACCTCCGGTGGCTTGCAGCAGTGCCACTTGTACACAACCAAAGACATCGTCATGTCGCCGCTGCGTGCGATGCAAATCTCAAGCATACTGCTCCAAGGAATGTCAAATCCAAGCATGGCCTACGCATCGAGCGGCATGTGCCATGATGACTTGCGCCCAGAAATGGCGAGAATTGGAAGCTCAGTGGTGGCGTCAACTGCCACCGAACGAGACACTATCAATGGTCGCCGAGGGCTTGGATCCTTTAGCCATGGTTGGTACATCTACATTTGCTTCTACCATGTGCATTCTTGTTCTTGCTGAGCGCTAAGAAATACATGCATTCGGTAGGCATTCTACGGGGAAGTGTACTTCGCGTTGTGCAATCTGAAACCATGTGTCATGCTCACTGGCATCCCACATCACTTGCAACCATCCTTCTTGCAAAATGTGATTCGAGCCAGCAATGTACTCGACCTCAACATGTTGTCCCTTGTCCAGGCTGGCCCAGTGTCGACGTTATCGTTTGACTTTTCAGGCACGTTCGTCTTGGTGACTCTGGGCCACCCGTTGGCGTCCGAACTGGTCGTGGCGCTGTCTACTCCCGCTTCCATGCAAGTGTCTGAAACCACGGTCGCTCGATGGCTCGATTACCCCGTCGCACTCGACACGTGTGTGGACACCAGTGCCATGGTCGAAATTGGGTACTTTGACATTACCACGGACCAACTCGTGACGTCGTACTGCGCCACGTTCCACGACCCAAACCACCGACGGCAAATCCTCGACCACTTCCAACGGTACACCCAAACCCTAGGCTCAATCCTGCAGCTTCGACGCGACGCCACGTCAGTGTAGCGGTGTGTACGAGGCTTGGATTCGTTTGGCCCAATTCACTGCATTTCCTGCGGCTACCGGAGTCGGCGTTGGGTTCGTGTCCTTCGCCAGGTCCGTCGCACCAACCACGTCGTCGGCAACTCGCACCGTCTTAGCCCGAGGTGTAGTCTTCGTCTTGACGGCCTTGACTGATTTGGGTGGCTTCACTTTGACCATGGAGGGTACCACCACCTTAGCGCCGTCGTACATTTCGGCCATGGCGTCGCTTACATGGACCGACTAGGCATAGTATTCTTATTATCGTACAAACGACAAGGAATCCAATATAAACCTCCATGGGAGCAGCTTGTTTTCGTCGTAAACGTTGCCATGTGGAGTGGCCGATATTCTGTGGGGCTACAGGGTCGTCTAGGAACGACGTCGAGTACAACCGTGACGCAGCATGATCATGTCGCTGCACGTTGGCTGGACCGCCAGTCTCGTCGGCAACGAATTCGTCGATATCAAACGGGGGTGGCGACTCGTCCAAGGAAGTTTGTTCGTGTGAGGCTGTAGTAACGGTGGCCTTTCGGGTGGACTTGTTGGTCCTGGTACTAGGGGTCGTTGTAGTATTTGTCATATCAAATCCAAGGTCTGACAACATCGTTTGGACCCGCGTGGCATCGGACATAGGTTTCTGGGACACGTGGGGTTGTTTGGTGGGCTGATGCATTGGAAATGCCCGATGACTATCGGTATCGTAGTCGGACGGCCCTAAGTATGTAATCAACGTCAATATGGTGTATTCATGGTCGGGGTTTCGGGGTGTGTGACAAGTTACCTGGGGCTGTAGCCGTGGAGACTGGTGGGGCAGCTGGCTCGGGCATTTGAAATGTCCACTTGTTCATGTATTTCGTCTCTCGGAGCTGGACAGGGGCCATGGCACTTGCTTTGCGGTTGCGGGATGTAGTGTGTCGCGGTAGCTATCCAAGATGGTTTTAGCCTTGAAACGACTATTCGAGTGAAGAGTATACTCGCTGCAATTTGCCTTCTATCTCTCGGACAAGGGCGTCAAGGGACTCCACGAGGTGTTTCGACTCTAGTTCTTGCGGTGCCTATCCCACACATGAGAAAGAGGTATATCATCGCACTAGTCTGCATTCTTACCATGTGAAGCAGACGTTGCACGAGAGTGTTGGCAACATCGATTCGAGTCAAGACGGAATCGTCTACATGCAAAACGCACGTACGTCATCCATCATCGCAATGACATCCTGAACGGATTAGCAGAATCGGTCCATACCTGACGTCGGTAATGACTGGGCTACTTCCAAGCGTTGCACAAGGTCTGTCATGGTCTGTTGGAGGTGAAGCATCGACTGTTGGGACGGGACTGGTTTGCGAGGCGCCAACGAAGAAACAGCAGAGGTCGCGGGTGTCGCTGCGTTGATTGTTCGCACGTCGTTCATTTCATATTGCATCAGGTGCACAAGATCTTCATCCACGCTGGAATGAAGTTTTTTCACCGGTGAAAGGGCGGATGGCAACACAACAGTCGGTGGTTTGGTTTGAGCGGGTGGTTTTGAGGGGCGTGGGGGGTTGATCGGCTCGTTGGAATGTCGTCCAAGTAGATTTTGATCGGAAGCCCTTGCCGGATTGTTCGTATTCGTTGCCGTGTGATTGAGTTTCACGCGGGAAGAAGTGGTGAGACGAGATGTTTGGTTGATTGGGACGACGTCGTCTGGAGGAGGGCCCCAAACAAACGCCGTGGGTTTCAGTTTTTTCTTTGGCTTTGGTTTGACTGGCGCAACGACGACAGCAGTGGCTGCAACACGCTGTACTGGTTTCACCGGTGGGTGAGACCGTATCCACTGATCCACAAACGACAGCAAGGACCGGTAAAATAGACACCGATGCAATGGAAAGCTGCCCACAATGCCGTAGGTGTCGTGGAGTGCAGGCTACGGCAATCCATTGATCATTTCGATGATTATCGATTTGGAAGGCAGCACAATACCACAGACAGCCGAAGAAAGTGATCGCCCGTCACATTCTGTTCGGCGAGCACCGCCGAAGGGACATGAATCACATCCAGAAAACAACGAAGGTCGTCGGGGCTCCATTGCGTGATGCACGTTCGATCTAGTCAAGGCCATGTAACAGTCAATGCCAAGGACGAATCATCATTCGATACCCAGAAATCCAAGGATGACTTTGCACATGGGCTGCATTTCGATTTGCTACATGCAATATGGTTGTCAATAGATTACGTAGAGAGATTGAGCGATTGCTCGTTTTACCTTGAGCAAGAGCATGCAAAACTGCTTTAGCGTCTTGGAGTCACAGCCAGCCAAATGCGTTGTCGTCAATTGAGCCTGAAGTGCTGGCCCCGCCGCCAGCGGCACAAAGGCCAGCTCCAATTGTTTCTAGAGCATTTGTTTTTCAAGCAGAATTGTTACTTTTGAATAATACCTCGGCTAGCTTGCGTGGCTTATCGCCTCGTGGACGCATCGCATTGCTGGTGACAGCTGGAGTAGAGAGATTCGACACTGGAACGTACACTTCGACATGATGGTGCAGCTGCTTGCAGCAAACGTCGTGAAGGCATTGCGCGCACAGCGCCGTAGAACAATTGCAACACCAGAATTCCGATCCGTCGGTCAAGCATAAATGACATGTTGCTAGAGTCGTCAAGAGCTGCTCACACGCGTCCAGCGGGGGAACGGCAACTAAGGATGCTGCAGCGGACTCGAACGTGGATGTCGTAGCCAGGAATGCATCGACTACGCCGTCGAGTTCTTCTGACGTGAGCCAGATACCGCTATGATTTTCATCTCCGCCCCGTTGCAACGACATTTGCATCGTTTCAGTCATGGCCTGAAGGGCCAGTGGAATTGCTTCTCGAATGAACGTCGTCTTCGATTTCGGTGGTGCCTCCGTTACGAGGTCCTTGACCTAGAAAGGAAGCTTGGTTATCTCCACGAGATTGATAGTTGGGTAGCTATAGAGCCAAGTCAGACCTTTGAAGGTTTATACAGTGCGACAGGCTTTCGTGGTTCTGCTTGCGTAGCTGCGACTTTGACCACTTCGGCCTTATTTGATTTGCTGGGACCTTTGAACTGGGGAATTGCATCGATTAGTCGGTCAAGTTGCTCTTCGGTCATCATGCACACGACATCTTTGGGGGCTGTTGTTGCAGGCACTTTTGTAGTCTTTGTCTTTTGTGAAGTTTTGATAACTCTCGGCTTGGTAGAATTTTCAACTTTGGCAATCACTTGTGCTTTGGCCTTGGAATTACCCTCGACTGGATGGTGGAATATATTCTTCCACTCCGATTCGATAGCCGATTCGTACAACCCCCGCAAATCACCGAGGGATATGGATTTGTCCCGCTTCGTCAGAGATTGCCGAATTTGTTCCTTTTCACTTGCTGTAAAGCACTCAAACGATTCCAACGCACCCAGAAACTCTGCTCCAGACAACATGCCATCTTTGTCTTTATCCGCCCGTTCAAACACAACGTCCATGTCAATTCCACAACGTTGAGCAGTTCTCAAGTTCTTGTCAACACATCCTCGGTGCAACTTGTCGAAGCAATCTGTTGGACTTCCATCAACGTTTTTAGCCATAACTTTCAAACCTTCCATCAATTGCACCGCCAGCAGAATCTCGCCTCGCTGCTTGCCGCCGTGGTTCACGGGGTACCATTGCTCCACCGACCGACCTCCCGACCAAATGCTCACGGGGAGCTGGCACGTCCCGATGCTCGAGTTGCTCACTGTATTGGAGTCTTCGATGTGGATGGTCAGCTGGTCCAAGTGCGGGTCCGTGAGTCTGAACACGAACGCTTCGTCCCACTTGGGGTTGCGGCCGCCGTTGTCGTGCACCCTTGTCTGGAACGTCTTGTCGCCGATGGTGACCTTGCAGAACGGGTCTTGTTTGCCAAACGTCTGGGCGTCGAACAGGTCTTTGCCGGCCTTCACGCGGATGCTGAGCTCGAACGCCTTGCCCTTGCCAGACGCGAGCGCTAGCGGCACCGCCGCACCACCCGTCGCCGACACTTCCACCAATTGCACCGCCAGCAGAATCTCGCCTCGCTGCTTGCCGCCGTGGTTCACGGGGTACCATTGCTCCACCGACCGACCTCCCGACCAAATGCTCACGGGGAGCTGGCACGTCCCGATGCTCGAGTTGCTCACTGTATTGGAGTCTTCGATGTGGATGGTCAGCTGGTCCAAGTGCGGGTCCGTGAGTCTGAACACGAACGCTTCGTCCCACTTGGGGTTGCGGCCGCCGTTGTCGTGCACCCTTGTCTGGAACGTCTTGTCGCCGATGGTGACCTTGCAGAACGGGTCTTGTTTGCCAAACGTCTGGGCGTCGAACAGGTCTTTGCCGGCCTTCACGCGGATGCTGAGCTCGAACGCCTTGCCCTTGCCAGACGCGAGCGCTAGCGGCACCGCCGCACCACCCGTCGCCGACACTTCCACCAATTGCACCGCCAGCAGAATCTCGCCTCGCTGCTTGCCGCCGTGGTTCACGGGGTACCATTGCTCCACCGACCGACCTCCCGACCAAATGCTCACGGGGAGCTGGCACGTCCCGATGCTCGAGTTGCTCACTGTATTGGAGTCTTCGATGTGGATGGTCAGCTGGTCCAAGTGCGGGTCCGTGAGTCTGAACACGAACGCTTCGTCCCACTTGGGGTTGCGGCCGCCGTTGTCGTGCACCCTTGTCTGGAACGTCTTGTCGCCGATGGTGACCTTGCAGAACGGGTCTTGTTTGCCAAACGTCTGGGCGTCGAACAGGTCTTTGCCGGCCTTCACGCGGATG